AACGTTGACGGCTATGATACTAGAACTGCGTTTAATTTGTAAAACCGATCTGCATACTTTTTACGTTGGAACGAAGGCTTGACCCGAATATCGTAAATCCATTACCACGATCGTCCCTCTATCTCAGGGATTTACAGTACGTCAATCGCTCCATTAAGGCTGAAAGGAAGAAGAGTGGAGAGAGAGCGTTCATCGTGCTATCGATATAAATATTAAAACCTCCCTCGATAATAATAAATGAATTTCAAAAGATCCGATGATCTCTCGATCCAATTGCCCGTTCGAATCCTCTCCTCCCCTTTTAAATCGCTTATTTCATCGAAGATCGAGGACGTTGGCAAGATTTTTCTTTTCTTTTCCTTTTTCTCTCTTCCTTTTTACCAATTCCATCTTTGTGTATCTTTGAATATTCTTCTAAGAGGGAATGTATCCGGTTACCGAGTTTAATTAACGAAATAATAAAGGAAGATTGCGATCGCGAGATAAAATAAAATGTTTCGGAAACGGATTCTCACGAGAATCACGTTTTCTTCTATTAATACAAATGGGTGAAAGCGTATTTTTCAGATTTCTATCAGGAATATAAACTTCATCGTCGGTTAATTTATATATGCCGCGAGGAGAATTAATTAGTTGCAACAACCTACCCCCTCTTACCTCTCCCAATGTAATATGTTGTATGTCTAGTAGCACGTGGTTCAGAATCGATGTCGGTATTATGTTGTATACGATCCTTGACGACACTCGATCATACTAACAACATGTCTGCTTCCTATGTTTCAGGTAAGGATCTAAATTTCGCCAGTAATAACGCCGGTGAGTGTTCATCTAACAATATAACGTTATAACTGTTATGCATGCGCTTCTCTCTTTTGCATTGCCCACGTTCCTTTCTCTTATCCCCATCCCCGATTCGTCGATTCATATTTATTATCGATCGACCAAATATTTCGTTTAACACCGATTATTAAATATATCGTGCCGCAACGAGATTGTACGAAAATATATTCAGATCGTAGATACTTCTGGAATTGTACATTACACCTAATTAATACGAGTTGTAGCTAATATTTTAATAATAATAATAATAATAACAATAATAACAACAACAATAATAATAATAATAATCATAATAGTATTAATAATAATATATTTATGATAATTGATAATACGCAAATTAATAGGCAAAATAGATAATAGATATGAGATTAGATAATGTTAGCAACATAAAGCATTCGTTATTACTTCGTACACAGTCGCGGGAATTACTCGTACTCTGTTAAATAATCGTAATATCTCTCTCTCTCTCTCTTTCTCTCTCTCGATATATCAATTCCCAAAGGTGAGAGGATTTATGGAAGTAGATTAACGCGAAATTATTACGAATTTAATTTTTACTCGCGAGAGACGGGGACGAGAAATTTCTATTTATCAGGATCGTAATTTGAACGTGAGATTATCCGGCGAGTGGGGGATATTTCTCCGCGCGCGAGACGGAAACAGAGAACGCGAGAACGATAAGGTCGAATCTATTCGAATCTACTTCTTCTTTTTCTCCCCCCCCTCCTCCGTGTCTCGCGACTGCAATTTCACCCCGAAGATTTCACCCCTTCGCGCCAACGCACACGGGGACAAAAGGGACACGGGCGCAAGAGGGAAGATTTACGTGCATTACAGGAGGGGAGGGGAGAGGTATTCTTTCGAAAAGCCCATTTTCAGTAATGCGCCAAGCTCGTAACCCGTGGAAATAGATCGCGAAATGTAGCGAGATAAGGGGGACAAATTGCGTCCAGACAACAGTCTGGATGATTAGTCGAATAACCAATGACGAATTTACCGAATAGTTTCCAAGATTCGAAACACTTCCTTCCTTCGTTCCTCCTTGGAAGAAGAAAGATTCGATGTCCCTGAATTCTTCGTGATCCGAAATTCGAGAATGAGAGCGAGATCCGAGATAGCGGTGACACGAAAGGGGCGCGTAAGGGGTTGGAGGACGTGGATGCGGGAGAATAGGGAGGGAGGGAGAGTTGCGAGGGACGTAGCGAGATAAGATCGGCAAATTGCAGGCAATCTGGCTGATTAGGCTGCACGCTGGTAATCCTACTAGGTTTCACGAGGGAGCCTGGGCCACGACCTATAACAGCCTTCAACCCTCTTCGACGTGTATTAGCCGAAGAAACGGGAAAAGGATAGGACGTGGAAGAAACGACCGCTAACACGGCTAGCTACGCTATATCCGCACGGTTCCTGGAGATTAGGGGATCGTTGAATGGAAGGCTGACGAATTCGGAGGAGCTCAAGTTTTTTTTTTTTTTTTTTT